ACAGAAAGAAAAGAAGACTCTCAGCAAGAATGACCGACACAGTAGCTGACACAACGGGCTTAAGCATATCAAAGATGATGAGGATAAAGCGGGCAGGACAAGATTCAGATCTGTTTTCATCAGGTCGTTATGACTCACTGTCAACTGGAGGCCACATAACAAGTACAACATGCGTCAGAACCAACTAAACAGCACTAAATGTTTCAAGTTGTGCTTCCAACTCAAATGCTGTAGAAAAATATGACATTGTACAAGGTACTTATCTACTAAATGCTAAAAATCCTGAGCTGGCATGGAAACTACTTAAAAAGAGCTAAAATTGTCATTCTGTAAATGACTAAGAAAATTACAATGATTATTTTAGAAAATCTATTTAAGCTAGAGAAAAATTTCTCTGTAAGAAGAAATATATAAATATGCTGATAAATTCTATTTATATCAAAATTTATACAATACTAAAATTTTAAATATCCAGCCACTTGGCCAACTGACTGGAAGAGATCTATATTTGTTCCTATCCCAAAGAAAGGTGACCAACAGAATGTGGAAACTACAGAAAAATCTCACTGATTTCACATGCAAGCAAGATTTTACTGAAGATTATCCAAAAATGATTGGAGAACTACCAGAAGTCCAGGCTGGGTTTAGAAGGGGTCGTGGTACTAGGGATATTATAGGTGATGTTAGATAGATCTTAGCTGAAAGCAGGGAATACCAGAGGAATGTCTGTGTTCCATTGACTATGCAAAGGCATTTGACTGTGTGGATCATAACAAACTATGGCTGACTCTGAGAAGAATGGGAATCCCAGGACACTTGATCGTTCTAATGCGAAACCTATACTTGGACCAGGAGGCAGTCGTCAGAACAGAGCAAAGGAACACTGCGTGGTTCAAAATTGGGAAGGGCGTACGCCAGGGATGCATCCTATCTCCATACCTTTTCAACCTATATGCAGAACAGATTATCCAGGAAGTTGGGCTCTATGAGGAGAAATGTGGGGTCAAGATTGGTGGACGATTTATCAACAATCTGCGTTATGCAGATGATACAACCCTGCTTGTTGAAATTGAAGAGGACCTGAAGCACCTGCTACAGAGGGTCAAGGACTGCAGCCTCCAATATGGATTGAGGCTCAATGTCAAGAAGACAAAGATTCTCACCACTGGACCAACTGACAGCATCAGTATGGATGGTGAAGAGATTGAGATTGTACACAGCTTTAGGTTGCTTGGCTCCACAGTCAACACTCTTGGCACCAGTAGCCAGGAAATTAAAAGGCGCATTGCCATGGGAAAGTCTGCTGTTAGGGACCTCTCCAAAGTACTGAAGAGCAATGGTGTCCTCTGGAGACTAAGGTGCGTCTGATACAGGCCATGGTCTTCGCAATCACTTGTTATGCATCAGAGAATTGGACAATGACCAAGGAGGATAGAAGGAGAATTGATGCCTTTGAGTTGTGGTGCTGAAGAAGAGTATTGAGAATACCATGGACTGCTAGGAAAACAAACAGATTTGTCCTGGAAAGGGTTAAACCGGGTGGCTCCTTGGAGGCAAGGATTCTGAGGCTCTGTCTAACATACTTTGGACATGTTGTGAGGAGAGACCGGTCCTTGGAGAAGGATCATGCTTGGGAGGGTGGAGGAACAGGGCAGGAGGGGAAGGCCCTCTATGAGGTGGACTGATTCAGTGACTAGGATAATCGGGATGGGAGTGTCAGAGACAGTGCGATTCGCACAGGACAGAGCAAAGTTTAGGGCTGTTGTACATAGGGTCACTATGAGTCGCAAGCGACTCGACGCACATAACAACAACAACATCTTGACCAACTAGTAAACCACTTAAAAAAAACTGGGGAGGATTATTTTCAATAATAAGTCATCGTAAATATTTATTTTATATGTGTGTTATGTGTATATTTAAAAAAAAAAGAAGAGGAGGACAGTGATGTTTCCAGAATGAACTATCTACTCAATATAATGGAATGGCCCACAATAAATAAATAGCTCACACTGGTTTCCAGGAATGGTAAAACTCTTGGTAACTGATTTTTTTCATTTCACTCCTTCTTCCTTATGACCGAAAAAATATATTTATACACTTCAAATATTTTTATTGAAAAATAAGACTTGAAAGATCAACATCATGTAAACAAAGATTCTCAACACTGGGTCAACTGGCAGCATCATGATAAACAAAGAAGAGACTGAGACTGTTAACAATCTCAGCTTGCTTGGTTCCTCAATCAACACTCTTAGTACCAGAAGTAAGAAATCAAAAGACAAATTGCACTGGAAAAATCTGTTGTCAGGGACCTCACCAAGACCTCTTCAGAGTACTGAAGAGCAATGTCAATCTATACACTAAGGTAAACCTGGTACAAGCCGTGGTCTTCACAATTACTTGCTATGCATTGGAGAGCTCGACTATGACTAAGGATGATAGAAGAATCTATGCCTTTGAATTGTGGTGCTGGAGAATGTGAATGCTGAACATACCATGGACTGCCACGAAAACAAACAGGTCTGCCCTAGAGAGAGTGAAACCAAGCTGCTCTTGCAGGCAAGTATTTTGAAGCTCCAGCTCACATACTTTGTGTATGTGCCAGGAAAAACCAGTCCTTGGAGAAGGACACCATGCTTGGAAGGGTGGAGGGACAGTGCAGGTGAGGAAGATCCTGGATGGGATGGACTGATTTAGTGTTTTGGGTAATGGGGGAAGATGTGTCAGAGACAATTAAATTGGCTCAAGATAGGGCAGGGTCCAGAGCTGCTCAAAGAGAGGACATAAAAACAAGAAGATAAGATTACTGCATAATCTCTGCTTCTGGAAATGAATGAAATAAACAGGTCTATCCAGAAGTAAAATCCTGGTATCACTCTCATTGAACTCTATCCAAAATTATCTAACCACAATGAGACTGTCTCAATAAGCAGTAATCAGTTAGTGCAGAAACATTTAATGTATAACTTAAGAATTCTCTGATTTAGCATGCAATTTCAAATCAACTGTAAATTTCTTAGAAAAAGACTTTTAAAGTGATATTCATGAAAAAGTAGAGGAAAAACATAAGAGGCATTAAGTGTAAACTAATAAATATCTAAGGAAAGAACAAGCAAATAACTAATGTAGAGAAGAAGAGACAATGAAAAGGGGAATCTGCAAACTATAACCTATGGGTTAAATTCAGACCTCTCTGTTTGAGGGAGCTTTGGTGGCTTGGTGGTTGCACGGCCAACCCAAGGCTTGTAATTTGAATCACCAGCTGTTCCATGGGAAAATAATGGGCAAGCTCTTCCCATGTGTTTTATTTCCTCTGAAAATCCACTAAAGAATCAGATATGAGTCAATTCTAAATGAACAGTATAAAACAACAACAACCCTATTTCTGTTACTAGTTTTACTAAAATGCAGGCATGTCCATTAATTATTAGTTCATATCTTGTCTTTGGAAACTTTGCATTACAATGACCGAGTCATGTAGTTACAGCACAGATAATCAACTCAGCTCCACGCAGTCAAGTCGAAATCCATTCACAGCTGAGAAGCCGAATGGTTTCCAAGGTTGTAATCACATGGGAAGAAACCGGCCAACTCACTCGGAAGTTGCTGGTAGATCTGAACCTCAAAGGAGTTTCAATCTCTGGGTTAGCAGGGCAACTCCTACAGACTAAACCCCAAGCGCTCCCTCACAAGGCCTATGCTGTTGGCGGTTACGCACAAAGTCGAACTGACCCATAGGTGAATCTCCAGTGGGTTTTCAGAGGCATTAAATCACACAGAAGGAGACTGCCCATCCTTATTCCAAGGAGCTACTGGTAGATTAGGACCATGTGTCTTTGGGATTATAGCACAGCTTCTTACCACTAGGCCACTATAGCAAGGACTATATAGCCTACAAAATCTAAAATAGGTATTCTATATTCCTCGTCTGGAAATCTGCCAACATTGCTTTAGGAAAATAAAAAGTTAATGAAGTATAGCTCCAGAAATGCTACTAAACATATATTGCATAGGAAAGATATAAAAGAGACAAGCAAAGCTTTGGGTTTCTTAATACATGAAGTTCAAACAGGTAGGTTCATTAACAACCTGAGATTATGCAGATGATACAACTTGCTTGCAGAGAACAAGATCTGAAGCCCACTCAAAGACTATAGCCTTCAGTATAGACTACACTTCAACATAAGGAAAACAAACATTCTAAACTGAATCAAAAATATCAAAAACAGTAGAGAAAAACTGAAGTTATCAAGAATTTCATTTTACTTGGAACCACAATCAAGACCAATGGAAATGGCTGAAATCAGACCACAGGAAAGATAGGAATGGTTAAGAAATAAAGATAATGTGTACCATGGAATATTACATCAGTGGCTTCCAATGAACCACATCTCCTGGTTTTATGCCCTGTAGAATACTCTACCACACAGATCAGGGCTTGGACAATTCTATATCAGCATGCAGATGCGTGATGAGCACTTGCACATGGGAACTCTACATGGAAATCAGTTATGATGACCTGACGGAGTCTGAGCTGGACTCATTAAGGATGAACGGATGTGTGCACAGAGACACTGACAAAAAGACTTTCATTCTTACCCCAGCAGAGGCTTCACCCCAAACAAATGCAGGCCATATTGAGGGGAACAGAAAAGCTGTTCTGTCTAATCTCATTAACCTACAGGATAGAGGAAATAATAAACCTTCCCATTTTAAAGCCACTAAATAGTGGGGTGGTGTGTAAGCAGTAATAAATAATTGATATGGTCAGAAAAAGCTATCTGGAGAAATTTTTTTAAAAACAGAAGAAATGAATGACAATGCAAAAACAATAAACCACAAATACAAAGAACATAAAAATTAAAATATAATGGAAAAAACTAAAGGAATTGAAGATGAAGAAGTTGAGTCATAAGAAGTAGTGGAAAATTTTAAGACCAAAAACTCAGCAATTTCAAGAATCTTAAAGATAACATCAGCGGGAAAGTTCTACCTACTTCATCACTTTCATCGACTTCAATTCCACCATCTTTGTCATCATCCATTTGTTTATGTATTGTTTGAAGAGCCTCCAGACTAAATCTATCTTCTTCTGTAAAGCACGGTGGACTCAGTGACATGCACGGATCTGAAATAGAACAAAGGGTAATTACTAATTTGTCCTATCAAAATACAGGCTATATTTAGAAAATATACTTTAAAGGAAAACCAACAAAATTAAACCTCAGACTAAATCAAACTAAGAGACCTTAAAATATCGTGCAGAAAAGTCTTCACACCAAGAATCAGGAAAACAATTGATAGATCCAGTTATTTACATTCTTCTGTATCTTCCCCCATTCTGTATTTACTTAACCTCTTAGTCATTATACAGTTCCAATCCCTCTTCCAGTGGCAGGGGGGAAAGGGTGGTATAAAAATCACAGACGACAAACTATTATTTTTTAACAATTTAAGTAAAATGTTAAGTTTCAGAAAAGTATCACAAAAAATACAAGAAAAGGAAATGTAAAATAGTCACATAATCCTTAAAAGTTTTCTACTGAAGACAAACCTAAATATAGACATAGGATTTTCTTCTTAATACCTAACTCCTTAGACTGGTCAAGAAAAAAAAACCAATAAATAATTGTTGTTGTTACATTATTCCTCCTAACTGGTGAAACCTTCACTTACAGAGCATATTGCAAAGAAAAATGTAATTCCTCACACTGATGTCATCATAAAGTAGCAATTTAGAAACAATGACAATTTCTCATGCTCAAAATCAAACTGATGAAAATGATCTTTTTTTATCCAACCAGTACACATTCAACCTATCAAAACAGGAAAGTAATGCTAAAACTTTGCTTACACTCATTATCTGGCTGACACACAGACTAGCAAATTCCAAGAACTGAATTTCACTAGGAAACTACTATAGTAACATCCTCTTAAAATGTCATCATCACATGGATTTCAAGAAAAGTTAATTGTGGTTAGTATACTGTTGTTCTTGTGTGTACTGCCGAGTCAGAACCAAACCATAGCTGACCCTCCAACAGGTTCGTGAAGGGGCAGGAAGGGACTGCCCATCTTTCTCCCTTGGAGCAGCTGGTGGATTCGAACCACCTGCCTTAGGGATAGCAGCACTGCTTCTTAGCACTAGGCTACCAGAGCTCCCCGGTTAGTAAATAAGTTAGGTTATCTGTTCTCTAATAGTTAAAAATCTATTCAATCACTCTTGTTGTTGTATACTGCTGAGATGGAACCAACTCAGAGCTGACCTTCCAGTGGGTGTATCACTAACCGTGGTGAAAAATCACTTGTCCAGCGTCTTAGTTTGAAGAAACTAAAAACTAATTACTAATTACTAAAACCTCACTGTGGCCCTTTCCAAAGTATGTGTCAATTTAAAGCCATGAGTCTCAATAGTTTGACCACTACAATGTAGCCTGGCAGTTACATAATGACTGTAATCACACCTCATAATATAATCTGATATAATTATTCTCCATTTGTGTTATATTGTACATTCTGACTTCTGTATGTTAATATGGCAGAATTACATTATGTTAATGAGGAATAGATTATGGATTTTATGCTAATGAGGCAGAGTTAGAGTGGTACACAACACCCTCATTCAGAACACAGCCCTAAACTAAAGAGGAGTTTCCCTGGACAATGATATAAAAGAGAAGCCAGATGAGACTGAGAGACTTTTGTATCACAAAGAAAAAAGATCAGGAATGGAGCATTTCCTTATAGTCCCTGCTTTGAGAACCTCAGAAGCTCATCAGAAAACTGATATCAAGACACGTGGAAATCTGCAAGAAAACCCATGCCTCCATGATGCTGGCTTGAAGACTAAGGGGCACCTGACTGCGGCCATGGTCTTTTCCAAGCACTTGCTACACATCTAAGAGCTAGACAATGAGTAAGGGTGGCAGAAGAAAACTGATGGCTTTGTGTTGTGGTGCTGGAGAACAGTACTGAGTATCTCATGACCTGTCAAAAGAACAAACAGCTACGTCTTGGGAAAAGTGCAGTCAGAGTACTTCTTGGAGGCAAGATGCCAAAGCTCCATCTCTCACACTCCGGACATGTTGCTGGCAGAAGCTATTCCTTGGAAAGAGACATCATGCTTGGAAAGACAGAGAGTCAGCAAAAGAGCAGAAGACCCTCAATGAGATGGACTGACACTGCAACAGCAGCAATGGACTCACGTGTACCAGAGATAATGGGGATAAAACAGGATAGGCCAGGGTTCAGATCTGTTGTTCACAAGGTCACTATGAGTTTATTTGACTCAAGGGCATCTAACACCACCAATAACAGATAATGAAAGGAGAAAAGGGCCTTCCTCCTGAGAGAATATGCTTTCCCTGAGAAATGGCACCCCAAATTCAGACTTCTAGTCTTCTAAACTGTGAAAGAATAAATGCATGTTTGTTGAAGATACCCGCTGCTGTTATTGCAGTACTACATAACTAAGACACCATCTCTAAAATAAAGTAAGTAAATCAGATGCCTACTGAAGCCTACCGCAGAGCCAAGAGCCTAAGGGAGAAAAGTAAAAACTTGCAAATAAAGAAGTCAGTGACTGTGCTCTGCTAATAATTTTCTAAAAAACACTGTAAATCTCTTTTATTTCACATGTTACAGTTACAGCCCAAAATATATATCAGCAATTTAATATTTTAGCCATTTTAATTCAAAATATAATTTAGTATCTTTAATCTCAGAAAGGAATAATACAGAAGAGAAAAAGAAACTTCCTAAAACTGGGAAAATCCACTTCCTAAATAACATGCCTCCTGAAACTCTATGAACTTTGATAAATGTCAATAGTTGTAGAGGGGCTTCAGGCCTTTTGTTCACAGGGTTGCTATGAGTCATGCTCGACTCGAAAGCAATCAACAACATACTTTGAAGCTCCATCTCACATACTTTGAGCACGTGGCCAGGAGGGAGTACTCCTTGGAGGAGGGCATCATGTTTCGAATGTGCAGCCACAGCACAGGACAGGAAGACCCTGGATGAGATGGACTGACACAGTAACTGAAGAAAAGGGGTTAATGTGTCAAAGTCAGTGAGACTGACTCAGTATAAGGCAGAGTTCAGAGCTATCGTGCACTGGGTCACAGGTGACTCCATGGCACATAACAACAACTATATAACTATATCTCTCATTACATAGATATAGAGACACATGTAAATTTTTAGAAAGCTGATTAAGAGCAGATAAAAGTAAGAATTGATAGGCCTAATGGGCAATTATGATCCCTAAAACCCTAACTTTTATATGCTTTTGAGTTGAGATTTATTTGTAGTTATTTTGAACAGATGCAGAGTAAATATTAAGCTTTCTGATGTCATAGTAACATGTCAAACAAAATATCATCATTATCAAACAAAATACATGAACAAAGTAAGAAAGATCTGTATACAATCGGCAAATGCCTCCAGTAAAGAAAAATCACAACTGCCCTATGAAGAAAGGGCCACTGGCATTCACTTTGATAAAACAGTGGCCTGGCGCTAAGGAGCTGCCCTGACATCCCAAAGGCACGTGAATCTACCAGTCGTTCCCAGGGAGAAAGATAGGAAATCTCCTCCTATGCGATTCAACTGCCTCTGAAAGCCCGCTGGAAGGTCAGCTATGGACTGGTTCCAACTCGATGGTACACAACTCTCTGTATGAGAGTCAAAAAAGGAAAGGCTATGCAAACCCTAAAAAGAGAGAAAATTAGGGTAACATGATAACCTGGAAAAAATTATACAAAACTGGCAATATCTTATTTAAAAACCAGGTACTGACACAGTGGCTACAACAATGGGCTCCAACAGGGCAATGACTGCGGCAATGGCACAAGACTGGGCACTGTTTCATCCTACTGTACCCATGGCTGCTATGAAACAGACTTCAGGACACTTAACAACTACTTATATAAGAAAATGCTACTGTTCAAAGTCCACTTCAAGTCGTAACTTTTCCATGAGATCTTTAATAAGTATCATTTCCAATAATCACTTCCTTTTCTGCACTCCATTCCATCCATTCACCAGTATCTGCTGAGCATCTACAAGTACCAAGCCCTAGAACTCCCCTACCAAAAGGCACAACACTCCCTCACAAATCAAGCACACTCGTGGAGGAGATGAACATAACAACACAATTAGAAAAACACATGGCATACTGAATGAGGTTTAAGTACTAAGGAGAGAAACAAAGAGTAAAGGCCAAAGAGAAAATGCCAAGGAATCTGAAATTTTGAATAATGTCTTTATTCTAAAATTATTCTCTGTCTTTTCTCATTTACTGCTGTATTACTGTAAATGTTGATCACTCTGTCCATACAACTAGACTTCAGAGCACATACGGGCCATGTTCTTCCACTTCTCACATGTTCACAGTATCCAAATTCATTGCTACTGAGCTGGAATAACTCAGAGCTGACCCTCTAGCAGGTTTCCAAGGCTGAGGTCACACAGGAGGATCCCTCTCCCAAGAAGCATCTGGTGGATTTGAACTCCTAGAGATGCGTGGTGTTTTGTTAGCAGTGTGACTCCCTAAGGACTTAAGCCACCATGGTTTTGGCTTCTGATAAACTCCACTATTTTACATGTTAATTACATCACTTATGGTGAGTTTAATCACACTGTGAAAGAAGGAGCTGCACTACTAACTCAGAGGGCAGTTCGAATCCACCTGCTGCTCGACAGGAGAAAAATGGCAAAATGGCAATCTCCTCTCATGCAATTTAAAGCCTCCAAGAACCAGGTGGATGGTTAGTGATATAAGTGGGCTCTGATCCAATGACAATGAGTTGTTGTTGTTGTTATGTGCCGTCGAGTCGTTTCCGACTCATAGCGACCCTATGCACAACAGCCCTAAACCCTGCTCTATCCTGCGCCAACCGCACCACCTGACACACCCATCCCGATTACCCCAGTCACCGAATCAATCCATCTCATAGAGGGTCTTCCCCTCCTGCGCTGTCCCTCCACCCTCCCAAGCATGATGTCCCTCTCCAAGGACCCGTCCCTCCTGACAATATGTCCAAAGTATGTCAGACGAAGCCCCAGAATCCTTGCCTCCAAGGAGTAGCTTGGTTTAATCCTCTCCAAGATGAATCTGTTTGTTTTC